TCCGGTAGATTCCAATGTTAATGTTTCTGGAATCAGTTGTTGTTATACCACAACTCCCACCAAAGTCCCAGCACCCCTCCCCACTGTCTACGATCCCCTCTCCCTGCTGTGTCCCCCACTTGGCAAACTCATTTCTATAGACTTATTCTAAGGGTCTGTTTTCATTGACCATAATTTATTCCCTTCCTGTGTTTATATTTCACAGATAGTGAGGTTATGTGGCATTTGTTCCAATTTAACTCACCTTGCCCAGCACATCTTCCAGTTCCATTAAACTGTAGCAAACTGCAGGTTTTCATCTGCAGATTTTAGTTGAGTAGTATTCTATTATGTATGTGTACAACAGTTTTTTTATTCATCTGGAAGCAACTTGGATAATTTCCAAATCTTTGCTATTGTGAATAGCACTGCATTGAGCATAGGAGGGCAAATATCTTTGAACATAAATATATTTTCGTTCTTGGGGTAGATTCCAAGAACTTGAAGCACGGGTTCAAATGGAAGTTCTATTCTTAAATTTTGACAAGTGTCCATGCTGTTTCCATAGAGGCTAAACAAGATGACATTCCTACTAGTACTGGATGAGAGTTCCTTGTTCATCACATCCATGCCAGAACTTAATGTTTTTTGGGGGGCGGAGGGTTTTTTTGTTTGTTTGTTTTTGGGGCCACACCTGACTGTGCCCAGGACTCCTGGCTCAGCACTCAAGCAAAGATCACTCCCAGCAGTGCTTGTGGGACCTTAGGGATACTGGGGGACAGGACCCATGACAGCTTCCCAGGGCCCAGAGAGATAGGCACAAAACCTGTTTCTGGTCTTTTTGCTGTATGTTATTCTCAGTAGTGTGAGGTGATAATCAGCTCATTGTCAGGTTAGTTTGCATTTCTTCCTAACTCCTTGAGAAAGCATTTTAATCACAGATATTTGCATATTAATGCAAGTGTTGACCATTATTCTAGAGTAATGAAATTTTAAAGAGGTATGAAAATATTAAGAACTCACTATAGTTGTTCTTTGCAATGGAATATCAAGAGAATTTCGTTGATTAAAAGCTTCAACCCTTGGGGCTGGAGCAATAGCGCTGCGGGAAGGGCGTTTGCCTTGCACGCGGCCGACCCGGGTTCAATTCCCAGCATCCCATATGGTCCTCCAAGCACCGCCAGGAGTGATTCCTGAGTGCAGAGCCAGGAGTAACCGCTGAGCATCGGCTGGTTGTGACCCAAAAAGCAAAAAAAAAAAAAAAAAAAGCTTCAACCCTTAGGGTTTAGAAGATAACTAAGTGGATTAGAGTGTAAGCTTTGCTAAAAAGCATACAGGAACCTTGGTTTTGATCCCAGACACCCCATGATCCCCAAACACTGGCTAGAGTAGCCCTACGTACACTCAGCCAAGAGTAGCTGCTGAGAGTTGCCCAAAATCCCCAAAAGAAGGACACCTCCTTACCGCACCCCCGCTAAAAAACAAAAACAAAAAAAAATCCTCTCTTCCCAGAAACTAAGCTTCAGAACCCCCATTTTCAAACATAGTCTGCTGGATTTTATATTTTATAATGAAAATACAGACCACCTGGAATCACTGTTTTTTAAGGGTATTTTTTAAGGGTAGAATATCACAAATCACAAATCAAATCACAAATCATCCTGTTATTCGTCGATTGCCTCGAGCAGGCCCCAGTAACGTCTCCTTCATCCTAGCCCGGAGATTATATTCAAGGCTCTTTAGGAGAATGAGACCCATCATTGTTACTGGTATTTGGCATATTGGGTACGCCACGGGGAGTTTGCCAGACTCTGCCGTGTGGGCAGGCTACATTCGGTAGCATATAAAAGGGTAGAATATAAAAGCAGTATAAGGGCTGGAGCTATAGTATAATGGGTCAGGCACATGCCTTGTATTCAGCAAGCCCAAATTTGATCCCTAATACTCCTTATGATACCCCACCAAGTATGATCTCTTGAGTGCCGCACCAGGAGTAACCCCTGAGCACCACCAGATATGACCCAAAACCCAATCCCCCCGCCCTCCCTCCCAAAAAAATGCACTACAGGGCTAATGAGATGGGTCAGGAGCAGATGCTTGGCTCACACAGGAACCAGAGTTCTGTGCCAGCACTAAATGGGCCACTGAGTGTAATCAGGAGGTCTTAAATACTGCCATGGTGTGGCCATCGTGGCTCTGATCAGCACAGCATCTCTGGGTCTGAGCATTGAACTCTCTGACCTGGCCAGCTGTGTACCCCAGGGAGTGTCCCTCAGGCCTCCTGAGCATTGCTTGGGAGGGACCCCACAAAAAAATATAATTTTTAAGGATCCTTCCAGGATGGGAGAAGCATGCTGAAAGTAGACTATAGACCAAACATGATTGTCACCCATTGCCTCTTTTGCAAACCACAACACCCAGTAAGAGAGAGAGAACAAAAGGGAATGCCCTGCCACAGAGGCAGGGGGGATGGGGGGTGGGAGGGATACTGGGATCCGTGGTGGTGGGAAATGGGCACTGGTGGAGGGATGGGTACTTGATCATTGTATAATTGAAACCCAAGCACAAAATTTGTAAGTCTGCAACTGTACCTCATGATGTCTCACTATTAAAAATTTTTTTAATAAAAAATGTATAATTTTTAAATTAAAAGACACTTTAGTAGGGAGCATCTTAAAATATAGTCTTTTGCTTTGTTTTTGGACTACACCTAGCGATGCCCAGAGAGTACTCCTGGCTCTGCATTCAGAAATTACTCCTGGCGGTGCTCTGGGGACCCTATGAGAGGCTGGGGCTCAAAATCGAATCGTCTGCATGCGAGGCAAATGCCCTACCCACTTTACTGTTGCCCCGCCCACCCCTCCAAATATACGCGCTTAACATTTAAATCCGTATATAAAACATCTAAACCATTTTTAAAAATGAAAGATGTTTGTAAATTATTACTTGGGGGTGTGGACTGTGGACAGGACTCAGATGAGTGATTCCTGTGCTCCATGTGTGCCCACCAGGTTGACTGCTTTTCACTTAGTCTGTGATGGTTACTTAGCCCAGGATGGTGCCGCCCATGTCTGGTGCTTAGCAGAGGCAGATGCAGGCAGGGCTCAGCTGACACTATTTGTGGAGCTCCTCCACATGCTGTCCTCACACGGGGAAACACCTGATTGCTAGGAGGCTCACTTCCTGTCCCTGTAGTACCTGAGTGTCCTTCACTGAGGTTTATGACCCCATTGATCACACTTTTTAGACCACTTTCATTCTCCTTTTTTTTTTCTTTTTGGGTCACACCCGGCGATGCTCAGGGGTTCCTCCTGGCTCATGCCCTCAGGAATTACTCCTGGCGGTGCTCGGGGGGACCATATGGGATGCTGGGAATCGAACCTGGATCGGCCACGTTGGCTGCGTGCAAGGCAAATGCCCTACCCGCTGTGCTATCGCTCCAGCCCCTCATTCTCCTTTTTCATTTTTTCCTACTTCATAAGCGAGGGCCGGAGCGATAGCAGAGCAGGTAGGGCGTTTGCCTTGTACGCGGCCGACCCGGGTTCGATTCCTCTGCCCCTCTCGGAGAGCCTGGCAAGCTACTGAGAGTATTCTGCCTGCATGGCAAAGCCTGGCAAGCTACCCGTGACGTATTTGATACGCCAGACCCAGTAACAAGTCTCACAACGGAGACGTTACTGGTGCCCGCTCGAGCAAATCGATGAACAACAGGAGGACAGTGCTACTTATAAGTGAATTCTCAGCAGTTATGTGGTGCTTGGGAGCAGTGCTGTTGCCAAAAAAGTGACATCTTTCTGCCTTGGTTTGCTATGTCTGCATCACCTTGCTCAACAGAGCTAAGGGATCCTAAAGAGGCGAGGGACGTGACTCAGCAGTAGAGCTCTTGTCTCACATGCAGACTGCAGGTTTGATTCCTCACACTAGAAAGCAAAAAACAAAAAGGAGCAAAAGCAGCAAGGAACCCTTAAAGATGAACATCCTGCCATTCGCGACATAGCTCAACCTGGAACATGATGCTGAGTGAAACCTGCTCATGGCAGACGGACAAATGCTGGATACATTCTGTTTACATGGGGATTCTAAACTAGCAACCTCAGGGGTAAGAGTGGGCGTGGCTGACAAAATCTGGGTCAGTGTTTCCCACTGTGGGTGAGACTGCCCCCTGGGGGATGCTGGAACCATCACGGGGGGTAGTAGCACTGTAGCACGGTCCTCCCTTCATCGATTTGCTCCAGCGGGCCCAGTAACGTCTCCATTGTGGGACTTCTTGTTACTGTGTTTAGCATATTGCGAGATACTCTCGGTAGCTTGCCAGGCTCTCCGAGAGGGGCGGAGGAATCAAACTCGGGTCGGCCAGGTTGGCCACATACAAGGCAAACGCCCTACCTCTGTGCTATTGCTCCAGCCCAGGGGTGGTATTGGATACGCTTGGGGTATTGGATGTAGTTGGAGGGCACTTTTTCTTTGTTTTTGTTTGGGGGACCACACCTGGCAGTGCTCAGGGCTTTCTTCTGGTTCTGTACCCACGGTGGTGCTCAGACGACCATAGGAGTTGTTGGGGATTGAACCCTGGTAGGCCACGTGCAAGTCAAGCACCTAACCCACTGTAATATCGTTCCATCTCCCACCCCCCTCTATTTTGGGGGGCACCCTAGTTTTACTTAGGTTGAATGTTTATTTGGAGCAATCTTTGGTTGGGAGGCTGAAGTTCTTCAGCTTTTCTCTGAATCACTGTTCAGCTTCGGGAGTCATATATGCCTCTTAGACTCCCACCCCACCTGTTCTTTGAATCTCTGAAATGACCTTTTCACTATGCATGTTTCTTATTGCTGTTTCTCTCCTACAGCTGTAAGGTAAATTTTGTAGCCTGGATGTTTTTGTATCATTTTAATATAAAGTTCTTTAACCCTCTACTATAGCTGGCATAGTTTTGCCTACTTCAAAGTGTTGTGACTCAGTGCTCAGAAAAATATTAGCCATTTCTGTTTTCAGATAACCATCTTCTAAACTTCCTTTCTTAGAAGCTGATTCAGCACTACAGAAAGAACATAGAAACCAGACACCTGCTCCATCTGCAGCGCAAACTTCTGCTCCTTCTAAGTACCACCGAACGAGATCTGGGGGAGCCAGGGATGAACGATATCGATCAGGTGAGAAAGGATTATCAAATTCCCAGTAAAATTGATTTTTAGCAAGACTAGTACAAACTGTATTCTCAGAGAGGTCGTATTGTTTGGGTTTTTTCCCCTTTACACCAACAGGTCTACATCAGTTCATTTATTGAGTCCCCTATTATGTCACGTTGAGTAGAAACTCAGAGTTTTTGGAGATATGACAGCAAATTAGACCATTTCTCTACTTAAGGGGGGAAGAGGAGCCAGGCAATCACAAAGGCGACTAATAAGTAAGGAAATGTAGGATTAAGGTCAGGTTTGGAGAAGAGGCCCTGTTGTGTTTGCCAGAGTTGTTGATTAACTAGTCTCTCAACTGTTAGAGTTAGGAAAAAACAGAATGAGATTCCAAATTACTAAAAGCTTAAATGTTATTTTTCCTTTAAAAGTACCTATGGGAAGGGGCCGGAGAGATAATATGGTGGGTAGGGTGTTTGACATGGCTGACCGAGTCTCCAGTACCATATCTGGTCCCCTAAACCCTGCCAGGAGTGACCCTTACATGCAGAGCCAGGAGTAAGCCCTGAGCACAGGGTATTACCCAAAAAACAAAAGTAGCTATGGGAAGAGGAAGGCGTCCTTGCTGTGCTAGAAGTGGGAATGTTCTCCCCGATGAACTTAGACGAGAGGCTCTGGGTCTCAGAAGCATAGTGGCCTGGCAAGTCCTTTCCGTGCCCACCTGCTGTTCACTAGCACTAAAATTCTCTAACATTGGGGTTGGAGCAATAGCACAGTGGGTAGGGTGTTTGCCTTGCACGCGGCCAACCCAGGTTCGATTCCCAGTATCCCATATGGTCCCCCGAGCACCGCCAGGCATAATTCCTGAGTGCAGAGCCAGGAGTAACCCCTGTGCACCGCCAGGTGTGACCCAAAAAGCAAAAAAAAAAAAAAAAAATCCCTAACACTTCTATTGTTTAAGTAGTGAATTGAGACTGGGGAAATTTGCATGCAGGAAGCCTTGGATCAGTCCCTCACACTAAATGACCTCCTGGATACCAGCCAGTGTGGCCCTGGAGGCCTCCAGCACAACAGGACTCCAGCAACACTGCATTTTGGGCCATAACATTAAATCACCGGTCTGGTTGGTTGAGAATCTCCAGGAGTGGCTTCCTGGGTACCCTCTGAACACCACTTGGGAAGTCCCCCCAAAACAACAACAGGTGTATATCACATCCTCTCAGAAACTGCTTGAGAGTTAATGAGCAAACGGAAATGGTTGGAGGACAAGCAACCTTGGCCCTTCTGTGAGCTGATATTCTCAGATATGTATTTTTACACACTGGAAGGTGTGAGAACAAGAAATGTTCTATTGGAAAATGAGGTTGCAATGAAATATCATCTCACACCACAGAGACTGGCCCACATCCAAAAAAACAAGCAACCGGTGCTGGCCCGGATGTGGTGAGAAAGGGACCCTCCTTCACTACTGGTGGGAATGCCGACTGGTTCAGCCCTTTTGGAAAACAGTATGAACGATTCTCCAAGAATTAGAAATTGAGCTCCCATTTGACCCAGCAATACCACTCCTTGGGAATATATCCCGGAAAGGCAAAAAGTATAGTCAAAATGACATCTGCACTTCTATGTTCATTACTGCACTGTTCACAGTTGCCAAAATCGAAAAAAACCTGAGTGCCCGAGAACAGATGACTGGTTAATGAAACTTTGGTGCATGTATACAATGGAATACTATGCACCTGTTAGAAAAGATGGAGTCATGAAATTTACATACAAGTGGTACTACATGGAAAGTATCATGCTAAGCAAAATGAGTGAGAAAGAGAGGGACATAGAAAGATTGCATTCATCTGGAGAACATAAAGTAACAAAATAGGAGACTAACATCCAAGAATAGCTGAGATAAGTACCAAGAGGTTTACTCCATGGCTTGGAGGCCAGCCACACTTGCTAGGGGGGAAAGACAGCTCAGATAGAGAAGGGAACACCAAATAAAGGGTGTTGGAAGGATCCTCCCAGGATGGAAGATGCATGCTGAAAGTAGACTATAGACCGAACATGACTGCCACTCAATGCCTCCTTTGCAGACCACAGCACCCAAAAGGAGAGAGAGAACAAAAGGGAATGCCCTGCCACAGAGGCGGGGGGGGAAGCGGGGTGGGAGGGATACTGGGATCCGTGGTGGTGGAAAATGGGCACTGGTGGAGAGATGGGTACTTAATCATTGTATAATTGAAACCCAAGCACAGAAATTTGTAAGTCTACAACTGTACCTCATGGTGTTTCACCAATAAAAATTTTTTAAAAAAGAGAAGTAAAAGAGGTTGCCTGCCACACTCAATTTTTCCATGGTATTTTCCTTGGTCTTAAATGATCAAAAGGGGGCTTTCTTAGAGAATCTGACATCTAATCCAAGTCTTAAACAGGGCTAGGGAAGTAGTGGCTGATATTAGATCTGAAAGTAGTTTATTGTCGCCTGAATTTAGAATGCAAGGGCCCAGAAGATTATGAGAAAAGCAGATCTTGAGAAATCTAGACTACTACTCAAGAATTCTCAGCAGATTAATAACAAAATCAGATTCATATTTGCTCTGCTAACTGATGAAGTCAAGATGCAGTGTTACTCTGTTTTGTTTTGGGGACACACCTGGCAATGCTCAGGGCTTACTCCTGACTCTGCACTCTCTCCTGGCAGTGCTCTGGGGATCTTATAAGATGTCAGTGATTAAACCTGAGTTGGTCACATGCACAGCAAACACCTTACCCACACTACTATCTTTCTAATCTTTGAAAGGAGTATCTGTCACCTCACTCAGATCAGTTGTTCAGGCTAAAATACAAGGCCAGCTGTTCTGGTGGAGAGCCAGAGTTGGTTGAATTGGAACTTTGAAAATAATATATAAAATGAAGAAGGAGTTCAAGGCAATAAATAACACGAGCTGATTTTATAAGTATTAATAATAATCATATACATTTGTGTATACACAAACACAGAAACCTAGAAAAATTTAAGTGTCAGACTACTGAGGTGGAATTACTTATTGGTGGTAATTTATCTAGAGAAATATTTGACTTCAGCATTTATGTATTTAGATTTCTTCATAATGTGTCAACTTAGTCTTTTATTGTGGTAAAATGTAAAATGCATATTTAATGTATGTATCTGTGTCACTGTGTCACATTAATGTTCGTATCTAATGCACCAGCCGTCACATATCATTGGGCTGAGTATGATGGGGGATTGACTCCTGTAAATATAGAGATGATTAGACCGGGGAGATCGCTCAAATTGCTTCACACATGCTTTGCATGCTGAATGGGGCCCCGTCCCCAGAAGCACATGGTCCCCAGAGCACTGCTGGGTTTGGCACAGAAATCCAAAAAAGTGGGTAAATAAAAGTGGCTGATGCCTTAGAAATTGTACAGATCGCATGATAAACTAACTTGTTCACTTGTGATCACTTCCTGGAACTGTTCTCAATTTAAAGCTCTGCTCATCCACGTCTGTATTTTCATGTGCCCTTGTCTCTATCCTGCCCGTACGGCGGAGTCTGGCAAACTCCCCGTGGCGTATTCGATATGCCAAAACCCAGTAACAATGATGGGTCTCATTCTCCTGCCCCTGAAAGAGCCTCGAATGTGGCACTTTTAAAATCTCAGGGCTAGGACGAAGGAGACGTTACTGGGGCCTGCTTGAGGCAGTCGATGACCAACAGGATGACAGTGGTCAGTGACAGTTGTCTCTATTTAGGAAGACCGTGTCAGGGAAGGGCACCTGAAGTCTGTTCTGCCTTGGTCCTTAACTGCCACTTACTGCCCCATGTCTTAATGACCTTATAAATAATAAGATTAGGAACTGCTGTTTCTTTTGTTTGTTTTTGGGACACACCTTGGCAGTGCTCAGGGCTTACACCTGGCTCTGTGCTAAGGAATCACTCCTCACTCCTGGTGAGGCTCAGGAGGCCATGTGATGCCGGGGATAGATCCTGGATCAGCTACCTCACGGCAAGCATCCTTCCTGCTGTGCTCTCTCTCCACCCCTAGGAACAGCTTCTTTAAAACTATAAAATTTTACTTCCTGCTTTCAGGGGAACTATGAAAAAGATGGCCTGTTCATAGATGCATTGGACCCTCCTGCTCTGTTGTGGAATCATTGTTCCCTGTATTACTAATAAGATGAGAGATTTGGGGCTATGTTTATTGTTTATTTGTGCTTCTTCTGTCCATTGCCTAAGCTAATTTTTTTGGTTTTGGTTTTGGTTTTGTTTTGTTTGGGGGCCACACCTGGTAGTGCTCAGGGCTACTCCTTGCTCAGCATTCAGGGGTCACTTCTGGTGTGCCCAGGGGACCATATGAGGTGCTGGGGATCGAACACTGGTCAGCCATGTGCGAGGCTGTACTGCCCTGTCTGCTGTACTGTCACTCTGGCCCTGAACATTTTTATTTTTTACTTAGGTTTTTCTTGTGCCAGATTGTTAAATGCTTGCCTTGGATGTGACTGACCCTGCATCAAATCACGTAGGGTCCCCCAAGCACAACCAGAGGTTAACAATTCTAGGCGTGGCCCCAAAGCAAAACAAAACAAAATTGCGTTTTTCTTTTCTTTTTTTGAGTGGGGGTGCTGCACCTGGTGGTGTTCAAGGGACTACTTCTAGTTCGTTGCCCAGGGTCATTCCCAGCAGTGCTCAACGGGCCAGGTGGTGCCATAGATCAAACCCAGGCCTTCTACCTGCAATGTGTGAGCTCCACCCTGTTGAGGTATTTCTCTAGCCCCCCCTTTTTAAAAAAAAAATTTCAAGATCATTTTTAATCCTAAGAATGATTATATTTAGGTTTAGCTAATAAATATAATAAACCAGAGATATAAAAATTAGGAAAGTAAAGTTATTTGTAATTGATATGATAGGAAGTACAGGAGAATCAGTATCAGAACAGTTCTGTCAGGTAGCAAGACAGAACATTGGTGTAATAATCTGCAGCCTTTGTGTATACAAACAATGACCAGTTAAGAGATGAAATTG